TTTCAATCTTTAACGACTACTATGAAGCTTGCGAATGATTATTTGAAAAATACCTCACCAGAATTGTGGAGTCTCAACGGCTTTGTCGATTGGTGTAACTCGTGTGATCTACTTAAGGGAGACAAAGCGAAAATATTGGACCATATAAAAAAAGGACTTGAGAAAGTCAAGAATAATGCACTCATTCAAGAAGATACGCGACAGAAGGCAACTAAATTGTGTGAGGACTTTCAGGTCATGTATTATATAAATAAATAAATAGTAAATGTAGGATAGGATTGTATACTTTATTAGACGACTATTTGTTGTTTTTTATTGTTACAAATCTGAAGAGATAACAAAGATGTTGAATTGAGCCAGGGACTATTTGTCAACTGGAAGATCGACTATTTGTCTATTCTTCTCTTTGGTCTCCTGTAGCACACTAGGGACTATTTGTTACCGGTGTTGGACTATTTGTTCGCTATGGCCTTTATGTTTTTTTTTAAAACTACAAAATTTAATTTTGGTTTATGTATTATTGTCTAAATTTAATCTTTCCTTTCATGTTTATTGATTACAGACATGGAAATCATCACAAACAACAACGAAATATTTCCAACAGCTTGAGATTCGTTATCGGACTGAACAGGAATTGGAAGCTATTGAAAGTCGGAAGACTATTGATTTCGCAGAAATTGACCGTATGAAGGTACTTTTTCTGTTCTTTTATATATGAAATTCTAGTTATAGTGATTATTTGTGCTAAATAATTTTGATATGTATATGTTACAGGTTTCTCAATTACGGAGCAATACAGAATCAGTTACAAAGATTCATCAGTGTGTTTCTGATGGTTTGGTAGAATTTAGCAAAGAAAATACAATGCAAAAACGCACGTTAGAATCTGATCGTCGAAGTAATTCTTATAAAAATCAAGAACCTGTGAGTGTCTTTAATAAGATTCATAACTCAAGATTAAAAATTTCTAATATTTCTTTTGTCCATTAAGTCAGCGTTGGAAGATCTTAAAAAATTAGAAAATCCCAAAAAAAGACCAGCTGATGAAGCTTTCACTATTATTACACCTCCTCCCAATCTCCGCGATTGTTCTCCCCCTCCATCTTATAAAAGTGGCGATAATTCTTTTACCACTGAAGCATCAACTGAGGCCTCTCCCTCTTCAGTAATGTTTTTTTTTTGGTTTGTTTGTTATAAGATTTGATAAGTTCGTTTCTAATATGCATTACTTTTCAAAGTCAAATAGCTATGACGAGTCGGATACAGGGATATATGAAGATGTCGATGAAAATCCTTTTATCACAAAGAATGGAGAGGAATCAAGGAACAATAAGGTTATTAATTAAAGTTTGATTAGTTATTGTTTTGTTATCTATGATATTTTTCTAATTACTGTTTTTTTTTTAAAGTTTAATGATCATGACAAATCTAAGAAAGATATATATTGTTCTGGCTTGACCCAAACAGATGTTGAAATCGAAGGTCTTGATGATGATGGACAGATGTCAGCATCAGATTATGAACCATTCCGTCAAAAATATAATAGTATGGAAACTTCAAAAAAATGGTTATTGAGTACTGGAATTACTGTAGAAGACAAACTTTTTGATTTTGGATTAAAATGTACCCGGGAACAGTAAGTTATATGTTTGTGTTTTGTTTACACTAGTATAATTATATTAACATGATAAAATCTTATTTTTTTTATTAATAGCCTTTCTCATTCCTTTATATTAGATCCAGATGATGAAAACTATTTGAAAGAAGGTATTTTTACGGAAAGTGAACTTGCTGAGATTCGAAATTTTCAAACAAAACCATTCCCAATAATGTCTAAAGAACTTTTGACATACCTTAACAGTTTTCGTCCAGTAAGTTTTTATATAATTAATCTTTATGATTGGTTTGCTTCTTTAAGATTTATATATTTTTGAATAGAGAACAACTGCCGAACTTAGACGATTGGTTTTTCGACAAGAAGCTATGGATCAAAATTTCGATCGGCAGAAAGATTTTGATCGTGATTGGATAAGAAACACTGTTTATAATTTGTATGTATTGTTAGATTATATCTGTGTCTCTTTATGTATTTCTTTGAACTGAATTCTTGGCTATTTTTAGATTACGGGAATATGAGGCAAACAGTCTTAAGAAGGATCACTTGGAGTTGTGGTTATTATTACACATCTGGGGCTTTATTGATAAAGCATTTGAAAATTTGGAAGATGTAGAGGCTGTAAGGTAAATACAATTCTTTTTTTCAAAATTATAAACCAATTCTTTTCTAATATAATTTTTTTTCACAGAGGCGAATCTTGTAGTTTTGCATCATCTGAAAGAAAAAATAAAAAGCGAACTGTTTCTGCTTTAATAAAAATCAAAAGGAAGATATTAGGTCGAAAAGGAGATCTAATAATTCGTAAAATCTTTTTGGAATACGGATGTTCCGAAGCTGGAATGTTTTATAAAGGAAAAAATGACACCAAATTATTGCGAGAAAGGGGTCTAAAAACTCCTAAAATGATGAAGGATATGTTTTATCATCTTTGTGAATCTGTTGATTGGGTTGAACAAAAGATTCGGAAAATGGAAACAATTGGGTTCTTGCATGCAGGTGTGGTTTTTTTATTGAAATCTCGATTAGAGTTTTTTTTTAATTCTTTTTTGATCATTTAACTAAGGGCTTATGATGATGATGCTAAGGCTCGATTCTCCTTCTGGATATATATGTAGAATCTCACGTTCAAAATCTCTTAACATCCCATCACAAGTTGAAGAGTTTGGTGCAAAGGCACTTCCTTGTATTTTATTAGCATGGATGGCAAAAGTAAATTTTTATTTAATTTGCTTTGTTGTTATAACTGTATCTAAAAAATTTGTTTGTGTTTTAATTCTCATAGACAATTGTTGCAAATGTGATTCGCTTAGTCGAACAGGAAGATGAGAACAATGTTAATGAGGAGGATCAGTTACAACAATTACTGAACTCATGTGAAGCTTCAAACATAATATCCTCATTATTACCAAAGCGAGCAGAGACACACTTGTCACATTTTCCAGGAAATTCAAATACACCTGAAAAAAAGCAAAGAGCTTTGTTATTTGGTTTGGTATTTTTTTTGGTATGATGTTTTGATTTTGAGTTTGTAATGAGATAATTAATTTTTTATTTCTATTGATAATTTAGATCAGGATAAACTAGGACCACCAATTCCTTTCAAATTAATGCAAAAAAAGGTGACCAAGTGAATTGGAATTAGATTTTGAAGTTGGTTGATAATGAAAATATATGTTTATTCTCATGCTTTCATTCAAAAACTTGCTGATAGGAAGTGTTCTTCCATGCAATAGTGTGTTATTTTTGTGTATTGTAATAATTTTACTGAAAAAAATAATCATGTATATACTGTGTATATATGGGAAATAAAAGACATGTACTGAATGCTGACATATTATGTTTACAAATTTCACACTCATGATTTGTAATTTTCCTGATGTATGCAAAAATTTACATCGGGACACCAGTATTTATGCTCTTTACTATCATTTATTATAACATCTGTAAATTATTGTGGTTTCGGGTTTATTTTTGTTAACTATACAGTAATTATACAGTACTGGCCACATTAAATACACTCACGTGTACAGACACAGGTGCAATCTGAAAAAATAGGTAACGCATAACAATATGTGATGAACGGAGTCACGCGGACCAATAAGTGCTGAGAATCACACAGACATATTAACTTGCCTGTAGAAAGCTGGGTATAAAGTAATATATCGTGTATAATATGCTACAGCAAAGACCTTTAATGTTACACGTATATTAAAACTGGCACTGTCTCTGCTGTAATAATATGCAAATGTATACAAAAATTACGTTAGAGAAAACTAGACTTCGGGCTTTAAAACTTATAAAATCGAGTTAGCTAATCCAGTATGGAGGGCACCTTGTAACAGTATAGTAAAAAACATTTATTAGAACCCGGCATCAGAAATAGTAAACTACTTCTATAAGGAACATAAAAATTTTTATTATAAGAACTGTCAGTTCATTATACGAATGTTAATTGTGTACATATGCTGTTATTCATATGCCGATAAAAAAATACAGGTGGTTCATATTTAGAAATACAATAAAACAACATATTCACGCTTTAGTGAAATTCCCACTACGCCTATAGGCTCAGAATGCTAGACTCGAAAATATTATATAATTAATTCTATTATATCAAGAGTTCACTCTGACAAAGGTGAACTGTATTTGGTACCGGTTCTTTTCGTTATTTAACTCACGAGTATACTTTTAGAACCCTAAAACCTTTTATTGCTTTGTTTTAATTATTTATTTATGTTAATTTGGTTCATGATCGAAGGGAGATTCGTTTATAAATCCAGTTACAGCGAAAATTTACTATAACGGGTTTATGAACTATAAAAATTTTATCGAGGTTGTAACATGTGGATTTTGTATACTTAATAATTCAATATCATTTGAACAATTTAATTCACCTTTACTGTTCACTTTAAACTTATCAAGATTATTATTTATTAATCAAATTTATCTTTAGAATCAGGTCTACCGGATAATTGATTGTGAGGGCAATTAATTGCAACTATTCGAAACCCAATTAATCGATTGGTGGTGAAGTCACAGAGAGCCGATTAATTGCAATTTTTAAAGTTGTTTGAAAAATGTAATGACTTGATAAAATATGTAATAATAAACATAAGTATGAGTATATTTGAAGATATTTG